TTCTGCCAGCGCTTGTATGCTTCCTTCTTCTGCTTCACGACTCGCTGGACCTCCTCGTTCCAGAACCACGCTGCCTTGTCTCCTCTGAATCCACCTCTCCAGTACCTCCTTGGCGCATCGCAGGATGATCTCAGCCGCGTTGCCCCAAGTCCGCTGCACTGGTCCCTCAGGATCTGGGAGACCAACTTCCATTATCCTTCGTTTGAGGTCGCTCTTCTCTGCTCGGTGCAACTTCCACCACCGGATCCTCTCGGTTCTTACCCTTGTCTTCTTGGGGAGGTCCATGGCTATGTCTGCCAGGAGGGCCTGTGCTGGGAGCCAGTTCTTCGCCGGGAGTACCTTGATATCCTTCACAGTTCTGAGGGATGATCTTCTTACAGCACATGGTCGATTTCCGTTTGTCTCCCTCCACTGCTGTAGGTTACCTTCTGAGTCTCCCTTTTCGCGAAGAACGTGCTGCAGATTGCCAGATCGTGGGCTGTAGCCAGGTCCAGAACCCTCTCCCTCGGCGTTCCTCACTCCTATCCCTCTACCTCCGTGCACCCTTTCCAGGCCTCTTCTGTCACTGCCGACGTGACCATTCAGATCACCTGGTGAGGTAATCACCTTCCGGAATCGATCTGATGGCATCGTCAAGGCTCAGATAGAACTCGTCCTTCTCACTTTCGGGGCATCCGGCTTGCGGTGCGTACACGGAGAGTATGTCCAGTACCCCTCCTTCGTGTCTATCCTCACAGCCATGATCCGATCGCTGATCCTGTTCACAGCGGAGACATAGTCCTTGAGCGACTCCGCTACCGCTATGGCCACACCGTTCCGCTTGGTGTCTTCTCCATTGTAGTAGAGCTTGACACCTTCCCTGGCCTTAGCACCTTTCCATCGCGTCTCCTGAAGGCATAGGACTTGGATATTCCTGCGCGTCATCAGATCAGCAACCTCTCGGGACTTCCCAGTTAGCGATCCTACGTTCAGAGTCCCTATTCGAACTAGCTTCTTTGGCCGAGGCCGTTCACTCCTCGGTAGCCCTCGCATACTGACCACAGAACTCGGGCGGGGGTTCTGCGCGCCACTTCCGGGTGACGTCCTAGCTTTATCACTGATTCTTTTCGACTTTTAGACATGTTTGGTGTGACTGGGGTGTTCATCAGCCGGCCTGTCAACCTGGGCCTGGGCCTCAAGCTGAACCGAACAAACTGCGAATCCTAAACTATTAAACCCACGGGATGGTTTTCTCGCCTCATTAGGGGCCGTCAGTGCCTCTAGCCCCCTCGCTCATACTGAGCGTAGAGGTAGAGGTAGAAAGCAGATACGGGACGAAGGGAATTAAGAAGGGATGGCAATAGCCGAGAAGTGCTGGTGGATGAGGGAACGAAGATAGAAGAAAAAACCGACGAGTAGAGACGACCGGGCAAGACGAAGGATGACGAAGACGACTGTAAATGTAGGAACTTCTAGGCCCAAAAGTGGCGTGGGCCAATCCTTACCTGCGCATCGACTCGTGCGCGTTAAGACCCAGTGCGGACTCTGACGACCAGGTCTTTAAGGATGACTTGCGGACCGGCTCTGCGTCGAGTTAGGTGTAGGAGCCGTACTTTGCGCGTAGAGGTCGTGCGAAAGTCACGACACCGAGGAAGCCGAGGTGGCACATACGGAGGAAGCTGAAGAATTGCGGCCTGAAGAATCAGCGGTATACGTAGGTGGTATGGCACTTTGCGGTGGGACGTGATTTTCGAGTACGAAGTATGACGGACGGTATTAGGAGAAGCGATTTAGGTGGGGCTGTACATACAAAGTATGAAGAAGGTGCTGGCGGAAGGCTTGGAGAGGATATGGGTCTTTGAAATATGGGAAAAAATTTGCTAAGGGTAGGGTCTGAGCTGTCGAGGTAAAAGGACAAGGTTCAGGCAGATTTGGAATCGAAGCAGGAGAAAACGGCGTCAGAAAACATGCAGCACAGCGTCCCGGTGATCAACAACATCGATAATGGAGTGCTCCCGTTACCCTGCTTCACGGCAAAGTCAGGCTCGTGCTTGGTGCATTATGGCGCCTGATAATCTGAAGTGTAGAGTTGGAAGTAAGATAGACGAGTGTGTAGAGTCATCGGAGACAAAACGAAAACAAAACGTTATAAGGCCTGATATGGTACCCCCTCTCCAACAGCAGCGAAGAAGACGGGCATAGGAGAGCGAGTTGTTCGGACGAGTTGTCCGGATATTGCCGACATCAAACCTGCGATTTACGGACTGCTTGCACTCCCTCTACGTTCTCTGACTGCGAACGGTCATAGCGCAGAGAAAAGGGGGACTCCCGATGACTCAGGCATTCTCGCGCCGTCTCTGCCCTCTCCTCGGAGAGAGACCTCTACCCCAGCCGGCGAGAGACATGATCGATCGAATGCGGTGAGAGCACCATCGCTTCGTGGCAGCGCGGTTTCACGTGAACCAAACATGACTGGATTGGCGCCCTCGATTGCAAATCGTGACGACGATAGAGGATTTGCTCTCTGATGATGCGTCTTTGTTTTGAAGAAAGACATATGTATCTATTTTAGAAGTGAATATAGTGCGAAGTCTATTCATAATCATTTATCAAGTGAGTAGATGTAGAAACAATAACAAAAACAGTGATAGGTGCGAAGGCCGAAATAGTGCGCTAGTCGCTGGGCCAGAAAGTCCAAATAATCTTTACTTTGTCTCGTAGTCGGAGGAATATTCGGAATAACGTGTGCAACCCTGAACCTTTCCATCTCGGCAGCAATTTCAGTTTGCCTTTGGAGCTCTGGCGGTCTGAGGTAAGGGGCTGCTGCTAAATCTCTTACTGGGAAAACATGATTTAGCAATTGTTAGTTGTCCCCTAATAAATCCCAACATTTGCGCGAGTGTAGGCGTTCCTGTGGGGAACGCTGCGCAAATTCTAGTGTGGAATCCCTCTGCGTGGTTCGTTGTTCTCGTACCGACTGTAGAAGAGTGATCCCATAGAGAGCTGTCAAATCGGCCGCCGACACCCCAAGTATCGTGCCAATAGTGCAAGAAAGCAATCATGACAAGATGCTCTCGGGGGGTGACCAAAGGTGGGGTTGGCGCTCTAAGCGCTTCAGATATTGCAATGTGCTTCTGTGGAAGGAGGGGCAGCATCTGAATCCTGCGGAAGAACACCCCTATGACTCTGTTGTTTCTCGCTGCGTTCCTCAGTTGGACTGCATCACGGTGCCGCAGAATGCACTGCGTGTAGTGAAAGAAGCATCTGAAAAATGAAGGTGTTTGATAGTCGGATTGTTTGAGAAATCTGTGTAAACACACCCTTTAAGGCATACTCCTCGCATTTTTTCTAATACCGCATCCATGGCCGGCTTCTCAAAATCTGAGATGACCCTGCAATTGGGATAGGTCAGAGCTTGTTGACCTCCTAGAAGTCCTATCTCACGCCAGAACCAAGAATACAGCCTTCTATACGTAATTTCGGTGCCATCGGGTATGAAGGCGTATAGCAGCGGTACAGCAAAGAAGTTTTCGAACTTTCCTATGATTGTGTACAGCTGCGAAGACGATCCACGTTTATTCACCGCAGGAATCCGTTTGTATCGCCCGTCACCCTGAACACTGCAAATTAATTAAATTTTGAAGAGGATGGAAGTGCTCTACTTACAAAGTTACTCCTAAGAGTAAACTGCTGAAATACAGACACCCATAGACTCGGACTGCCTGAGAGCACCATGAGACCATCATCCAGCAGGAGAAAGTTTTCCATGTGGGCAGCACAGGTACACACGGAAGCCATTGAAAACAGGTAGTGCTATTTGAATGCCATATCAAATACAAACAATCTGGCCAGGAATATGTGCATTGTAAAGGGACTTAAATTGGCTGTTAGGAACGCAGCTATCGATCCATTGATCATGCCTCAGAATGTGTGCTTCCAGATGCCGACCAGTGATACGGCGACCGATGCCCCGTGGAATGACAACAAGCCAAGGGAGTTACACGGCATTCAACTGGTCTACCACGACGTCAGGCGGCGGATTGGAACCGGATCTCTTCCACCTTGTTGCACCTGGACCATATCTTGGACGATTCCCATTTCTTCCACCGAATCTCGCTTCCATTATAACTCAATAAATACTTAGTTGCTCAACTGTGCACGCTGCACTTTCTGCATCAATATTTCGGGCATAGCTTTGGGCTCGGTTTGTCGCTCTTCTGAAGCTGTCTCGGCCGGTCGCGGAAGGAAAGGTGAGTTGCTCCACCACTGCCCTCCGTTCTTCTACAGAAAAGTTATCTGAAACCAGCGTTTCCCTTCTCTTCCGAATAGTTTCCTGAATTTTTGAACTGCCCAATGGACTGCGTAGTCAAAAAACGTTACATAATGAGGCGACTGGAATTATTTCAATCCGTTCGGTTTCCATCCTCGACATGGCTGCATAAAACACATAAGCGCCGAGACACCTCAACATTTCCAAGTGCAATCGGGTGCGTGGCGCATCTCGTGAAAATGTTAGATGCCTGCCCTCACAGGAGCCATTAATATCACATATTATTCACTGATTACTTGAAAATGGCTCAGTTACTTTATGACATCAATCGCAAGGTACCACTAAACATTTGAATCAGCGATATGCTGTATCCCCCAGGCAGTGGGGGGGGGGGGGGAAGAAGAAACCCTTCTGAAGTAAATTTTTGTTTTCAACAACACAGTTTCCTCCCTCTCAGCACGTAAATGCTTTTACACTTATGTATACCACTAACTCTTTTTGGGGCGTTTCAAGTTGGAGCTACGAAGTAAGAGAATGAACCCATGCGAATCGGGTCCAAACATCTCCGAGGACGTCTTGATGGGGGAAGAGGTCCATGTTTACCTACTTCGGAGGAAGCTTCACTGGTTGTCACCACTGTGGCGCAAAGATCAACGAGAGGGTCGTCTTCGGACAATGGAAGGGGCAATGGAAGTCGTAAGCTAAAGTACCAGTCACAAAATTCGAAGGTAGTAATGCATGGCAAAGTAGCAGAGGAGGATAGACTTCCAACTACTCCTGCAACTACTCACCAATGACGGTTGCATAGCTTGTCCTAGGCAGGGGTTCTTACTAACTCGTTTAAAATTCCAGTGAGCATAAGCAAACAGTAACTCCATAACTCAATCTTTTCTGTCTGGATCCCACACACTATGCACTAGTAAACTACTGGAACACCATCAAAAAGGGAGTGGAGGATAAAAAATGTCATCTGGATATTAACGATTTTTATCCTATCACGATGTGTTAAGATGATAGCATCTTTCTAATCAAAATTTACTAAGTTTACTAGTGCGGTCACTCCATGCGGTGCTATCTGTCTGTTCTACAAACAAAATTGTTCAGTGCTAGTGATTACTCGCGATATTAGTGAATGTCGGAGGAAGGCGGTGTAGTGGCAAGTACTGCACGTTTCGGGGGACGAATACCGATGTGAAATCTCTCCTGTGCCAGCTAAGCCTTCCATCCTCCGACGAACTGGTACAGACTTATCCGAGAAGATGGAAACGCCAGGTTGTGCATAGACCGCACCTCCCCCCTTCTCCAATCACTACGTGGATCGTATGACACTTGTTCGTTATTCGCATATTAACCTTGCTCTGGGCTCCGGTGATCCGTCTATCTCAACAACATTCAACTATGATGTATGGTCTCACTGGGGCCATAAGCTCAACACATTGCACGATAAATGAACTTCAGTTGTCTTTCTGTAGTACTGGTGAAGATTATATCAACGAATTTGGTTGGTATCAATGACTGTTGGAATAAAATGCTTATAAAAAGAATTAATGGTGAGCGACAGATGCCTAATACGCAAAACTGAATAATTGTGGTGCTCACCAAATCTGGGTTCTCTTCCTTGACAACATATCAGTCATCTCCAGGGATGCCGGTCTATGATGGTCGGCGGACGTACGTCTGATTTCACTGCATCTCTCCAATACCATGCGTCTCGCAGTAGCACGAGGTGTACTCCTCGGTTCACGGAAATGTGGGCGGAGAGGATTGGCTGGATCGGTTATGAAAAATCCATTCCTGACTTTACAGCTAGCAGAAGACTGGGGGTACGCTTGTCGGTTTCGTGCCTTGAGTCCTTGCATTTGCAGCACAGGTAGACGTCAGTGATCTAGTCGGAAAGGTGAGTCCTAAAGTGGAACTCGTAGCACAGCTCGTGGTCGTTTGGTAGAATATAGACGACAACGTCTCGGCCACGTTGTTGGGATGGTTGAAAAATAGCTGATACCGGAACGAAAGCCATATTAGAGAGTGCTGTGATTAGCTGTCGTAAGTCACACCCATTAATCTCAGCTAACATGGACGATACCTTAGGTGTCGAGCGATGGTACCTCGGGTGACATGCAGCTGAGCACTCCCTACGAGAGGTCATTTACCGTAGCTGTAGGAGGACTGTCCAACGCTCGTGTTTCTTTGCTCTTTGAATACGAAAGACCCTCTGCAAAAACTTCCAATTCATTCCAAGAAGAATTGAATTACCATAAATGGTCCAAATTCCGTTGGAAACTCTTGAAATTTTTTGTACTTATGTTTTCCCCAAAACTTCCGTTGAAGCTTGAGGAGCTGGTTTTTGGAGAAATTGTACATGTTATCGAGGTCACATCTGCCCAGTCAACATATTCAACCTTATCAAGTGCGATCTTCTAATACATCAAGTCATTAGGTGCAGTAATCCGGTCATTGGAATGTTGAGTCAGAAAGAGTCAGGAATTTTTTCGGTGAAACTTCCGATGAAGCTTATAAATGGTACTGATAACGAATATGAAATCCATATTCAGCGTTGGCGCCTTTCGACGCCAGCTGGCGTCATTTGTCACGTTCTTTTCACGAAATTCGGTGTAAACTTTTGTGCATAAGTTGTTTGATGTTCTGTTTAGAACTATTACAGTCGTTTTTGACATTTGTGTTGTTTAAGGCATGTTCTCTGCTCTCTTGAGGTCTTTCTAGCGCTTAGAATTAAGCTTAGGAGAGGAAGTCGAGACTCCAGTGTGGGTACCACGCAACATGTTGCAAAAATTGAAGCATGTGAGATCACAGCGTGACTGGCTTATTCATTTAGGAGCTCTTCCTCTTCTAAGACCTAGTCATGAATGCGATCTAGTTAGTGAAAGGACGCATGCGAGCAGAAGTAGACGTCGAGTAGCGCCGAACAAAAAAGGATGTCATATACCTAATATGCCTCCAAATAAACCCTATAAGCAAGTTTACAGCGGATTTGGTGACAACAGTCATGGCGCCAGCTGAAGCCAGTTTGACGCCTGCGTCAAAAATGGATGCCATATTCGTGATCAGGACGCTCAATAACCCCAAAACAAGTTTCAGCAGCAGAAATCACTCGTCTAACCCTTACTGAGGTTATAATAGTGTAATACTGCTCAGTTTTTAAAGTTTTACTTGGGGAAGCTGATGGTGCTGCGATTCAGGAACCTACTTCAGGATTTCACAAGGTCTTAGAAACCTAGCCTTGATTCTCAACCGATCCCTATACGTTTTCTTTTCCCTTTTTCTCAGTCGAGTTCCCTTTTTCAAGCATCACCGTGCGCGCCCTCAGTGCCACAGCGCACTCCTCTCATTCACGTGACTGTGAATCATCGCGAGAGCCAGGCAAGGGCACACCACTGAGCGGTGTACGGTGAGTCAGCGCTGATGTCACCGCTCCAGAGCACAGCAGTTAGAGACTCATCTTGGCGGGAGTGCGCAGACGAGAGCAGAAAAATGGGCGCGGTCGGCGCAATTTCAAAGGCCGGAGTGCAAGCAGTCCGTAAACCCAAACCTGCAGTAGATAGGGGAATCGAAACACCTTACTCAGCTGATTTTCCTCACTGCATTTGGTTTTGATTTGATTCCATTTTGGTTCTTGTGTTCTTTCTAGTCCCTTTTCGAAGTCTTCTCTTATCGTTCTTTAGTGTCATTGTTTTCAATCGAATGAAGTTGCTTGAGTGGTAGTGTTCTAAAGGTTGCACATTGTTTATCTACCAACGTGGAGGTTACAATGGTTCTGTTTTTTGTCATCAATTTTGTTCATTTAGTCAATCATGAATACAATGCTTTTCAGGTTTTGCAGCTGTTTATTCAGTGACTGTTCAGAAAGATTGTTCTTTCCAGAAATATTCCCTTATGCAGATGTGGAGTCGGTGATGCTGTCTATGTGATATCTGTCTGATATCTGAAAAGCATTGAGAGGTATTGTATGCATTCTCACTAGTGTTTGTTATAGTTTTTACTGCTAGTTATTTTGACTTTCACGTTCATAAGAATTGTGTAAGCACTTCCGAAGATTATGATGCTTTTGGTGCCCTTTTAGCGATGACACCAAAAGCAGAATGACAAATTATTGGAGAGACGAAGGAGCGAATCAGACCCATACGAAGACATTTTGGCATCCATCACAATAAGCTATACTGAGCACGTGGATGGGACTATTCGCTGCAAGAATTCGCTGTTCGATGTCGAAAAAGGATAAGAGGAAGTTTTGAAAGTAAGCAGCGCACCAGTGGAGATGCAGCAAATCCCGCTACCACGCGCAGAAACATACACGCTTCTACCAAAACAAATGTCAAAAAGTAGAACAAACCACAAATATGTTCACGTATGAAATCACAGACCTGTTGATCCTGGATATGTTTTTACACTGCCAGAGTATCAGATGTTGGGATTTTGGTGTAGCTGTTGAGCAAACATTCCACTCATTCCATACGCCATTTTTGACTTGTTCGACAGTGCATCTTCTCCGGATTAATCAGAATTCGACTATCGCATCAATCAATACGCAACCAGTTACATCGACGATGAACGTAGAACGTGTGATGAATGAGAACAAACTTCGAATTAACAATGATGGCACTTTTGAAAAAACCAAAGCGGCAACTAAAGATATGCAGCATGAACGTTAAAATATTTCTCAAAACAGTTTCTTTAACACCGCCAACGTCGATAAAAAGTGAATACATGGACAAGAAGCGAATAAAAGCAGTTCGGTATCGGCTTAACACCGACTTCGCCGTTCATGTACGCAAGGTGTGCAATTACGTCTTACTTGTGAGACATGAGGAATGTCAATGAGAATCATGCACAAGTTTTTCAAAGCTACAAGACGCCGTTTGTACCATAGACTACACATTTTGACGCGATGTGGCTCGGGGGAGGAGGGGACGGCGCCGCGCGCGGCGTTGCGGCAACAGGAAATTCGTGAGCCAGGGGGAATGTAGCCAATTCAGGGGGTTGGGGGTGAGGGCAGTCACTTAGCATGCGTGAGAAGCTGGAATGTTCCGTGAGAAGCTGGAATGTTCGAGAGTTACCCTACTGCGCCGCTGCCCCGCCCCCCCCCCTACGAGCCACATTGCGCCCCACTTTTTCAGAGAATCATTTGGTAAAGGGGAGGCATGCCACATGCCACATGCTCCCTTGCTAGATGATACCCTTTTTTGTTGTACTTTTTTTGGGTGCTAGCGTAGTTGAGAGGGGGGGGGCACGGGGCACCGCGGCGTCTGTTCGTCCTTGCTCTCCAAATCCTGAGAGGCCACTTTATTCCGAAACAACGTCCCGGCACCGATGGAAGCGGCCCTCAGGACTAAGCCTTCAAGAGCATAGACGAACAGACGTCGCGTTGCCCCGTGGCCTCGGAGAGGATGGTGAGGAGGAGGAGGGAGAGGGAGGGACGGAGACAGGCTGAAGAAAATAAATGGTGAATTATTCAACCCTCAATGTTGAAAAACGAAAGGAATTCAGTATGTTCAGCTTCTGCATTCCCCTCAATAAGGAGTTACCTCCTTCGCGACTGGGCACCCTCGAGTGGTGTTCATGCGGGTCGTGTGTGTCTCTCATCACGATCCGCGAGAATATCTGATGACGAGAGGCACTTGAGAAGGAGGGCAGGGATTGCGAAGCCCTGGTCTGGGTTGCAGGAGAAGTTGAAATGTGTGGACGGTGCATCGTCTGGCACCCACAATTTCACGAAGTTGTGCTGCTCCCCCAGGTAATCCTACTTCACTTCATGGTAATGCAGCATGTAGTATGTCTCTGAGTGTGTGCTTTAGGTGCTTCGCGTTATGATGCTGACCCGTAGGTGGGAGAGGAAGAAAACGAAGGAGCCGATAGGCGATGAAAACAAGCAAGTATTTAATGTTTCTTGATAGAGTTTGGTGTTTGATCATGTCCATTCAGGAGTTTACGGTATTGCGCCTATCGCTCCTTCGCGTTTTGGTGCTATGTGCCGCAGGGAATGAAAAGGAGATTCAAAATCCCCGCTTGCGTGAGGGGTGCCATCATGACGGCCTACCCTTCACTCTGCGGGGTGTATGTAGGGTTCACGGTGAACTTCTCTTCCTGGCGAACTGAAACTGCTGACTGGAAGTGTGGTTTTCTAGAGCGGACATGGAGGGTGCAGCAATGTCGACTGTAATAGTGAAGAGTTGCGGGACACCGCAGTGTAATTAAGTGTTTTAAATAAATTCTGAATGATGTAAGCTGCTTACCGAGTCATAGCTCCCACTCGTAATCCTTCTCGGCCTCCATAAGGTCCACGACCCACTGCGGAGTACGAGTTGGACCCTTTTCTTGCAACGCTATGAGACGTCCCTTGAGGACCTCATCCAATACAAAGTCTCTCCATACATGTTTTGCTGGAGTCTTGAGAGCCAGCACCGATTTTCTGTTGAGGTATTTTCTCTGAATCACTCTCCTCTTCAGCACTTTTCTTTCCCCGCTGTCTTCTGCTAGCCACAATGTATTCATGTGCATTGTGGCCATTTTTGGTACAGCGGGTACGTCTCAATTGGATAAAACTTCTCCTTTGGGCAGTACATTCTATCCAATGAGTGCTTGGCCTCACACAGGGAGGTACCACCATGCGGGCTAGCTTTCAGTAAATCTCGTTAGAAAGACCTTGTAAGGATGATGTCCCGGAACTTCCCATAAACCTTGATATCCTCAAACGTTTCGGGTTGTAGACCTTTTAGAGGCCCGTGTGTACAGCTTGTGAAGGGGCCGGTAAGGTCATCCTGAAAATTGTACACCTATGATGCAGTGTAGTTGTAACTACTAAAAACCACAGACCAGAGGCCACTGATGCACACCACGGATATGTACCAGACAGGTAGCATGGGGCTGGTGACCCAGACGCCGCTCCACGTTCAATAGCTGTCCACAGATATGACTTCACCTTCTCCGTCCACTCGACGATGTCCCCGCAGCCATCAGCTGCCTACAGAAGCAATGTTTAAAATCTATTTGCAAACTGCGGTTTTGCGGTTCATACCTGCCTGAGCTGATTCCCCAATCACTTGGCCAAGTGCCATCCATCATAGTAATGATGAATGGCACCGAGCTCAGGCTCTAGTTCTCGGATGGCAGCGCCCAGTGAACGACTGCGGTCTGTCGTCACTGACGACACTCGCAACCTCCGTCCGCACGCCCACCGCAGCAAACGCCTTAGCCCCTCCACCTCCATACGCGTACTAACAGTCTCTGAAATGGATTTCATTGTACAACTATTTATGTTTACATGCTTATATTGAACCGCATCACCCGTCTCCGATCGATGGAGCACAAGTTAGTACGCAGATCTGACAGCACAACTCCACATATCAAAGCCGAATAACCACGGCTATCGTATGCTCCATCGGCTACCAGATTCAACCCCTCACCCTGAATTCACAAAAAGGTTAGGGATTATGAGAAGATTTTGAGCAATTACACATTGTACCTTATTTCTCCTCACTATTCTTTCCAACACCAGCTCCTGATGCGAACGGTACACCTTTTCGACAGCTGGTTTTGTCCATTTAAAGACCTCTACGTAGAAGGTCCTTGAAAAGAGGCCCACTTTGGCTTGCTCAGCCCAACGTGCCAGATCCTAAATTCCGAACATGACGAACATACCCCACCACAACTTGCGTCTATCACTGACCGTGTACCGTAAACCCGTGGTTATAGCCGAGACCGCTGCAACAACGTTCCCTCTGAACTTGCGTTCCCGTGAATGTGCAACGGCTCGGTCCTTGGCTTTCCCACATTTTAACGGGTGGGTATCGGAGACTGCAGTTTCCACACACGAAGCGAACAACGGCTGCAGTCCCTACGGCTCTAAGCTGCGTGCGGCCCAGCCGTTGGCCGCACTCGGGGCAGAAACGGAAGAGCTTTAGAAGTCCCTCTCCTTTAAAGCAACAATCCAGGAACGAATTCGCGGGTAAGGACCACCTATAATGACGTTGCAGGTGAGAAGTTGGTCAATGGAGAAAGAAAAAGTAGAAAAAAACGTCGGGCAGGGGCTTACAAGTATATTCCTCTTCTCCTACTTAATTGCACACGAACAATAACAGACAATTGATAGAATAGACAGCCAATTGAACAGAATAGAACATAAAGTCGTTACACCTAAACTAGTACTCATTACATTCTTCAAAAAGCGTTAACAAATATATGACTAATTCTGGTTCTCAATTCTATTTATATCATTAAATTACTTATGTGTATTCTATTCTATAGCTATGTTACATATAATTGAATAACATAGAAATACTACTCAAAACTTAGACACCAAACACCTACTCTTCCATAGTGTATAAATACTTACTACTTCCAAGGTGGCAGGAAGAGACTTGCACGAACACCAACAAAACCAATAGTGACCTGAAACACAAATCTTACATAAAAAGCTTTGATTCGTAACACATTAATAAGATTCGTGATATAATAACACAATTACAATAAAGATATTACACATTTACGGCAAAATCGATGCTATAAGGCACATAGTACGTAATTACACACATTGTCTCATAACAAGCATAAGAGAGCAACATGTTTACGGCATTTTCGGGGCAATAAGGCACAGGATACGTAATTACAGACATTGTTACATAATAAGCATAAGAGAGTACAAAAAAAGGATTTTATAGTAGTTTAAGGTAGGATACAAACTTCCCCCTTCAGCAAGATATGCTCTATACAAGTCCCTCATACACATAATTAATATTAGTATCGAATTTTTCCACTTCTCCATGCAATAACTACATAAGTGCTCAAATATATCTTCCTTATTTCCTACTCTCCACTTCCCGTTGATCAATCTCTCACATCCTGGTACAGTCGATATCCGAAAGTTGGGGTAGGTGTGGCACCGGAAGTGACGTGCACTTGATAGAAGTTGCGTGGATAAGCTGTTGCCAGCATGCTTTGCTGATATCAGCGATGTATGTTGGAAGCAGCTTATCCACGCCCAACAAATTCGTATAATGCGCCTTTGCTTGATCGGGCGCCAGCAACGTCTCCATTCGTCCCTGTCGCGTGCAAGAGTTGTCCAGTGGACCCTCCTCGCTCGAGGGACACGATGTCCTTCATTCCTTTCGTTCAGAGCTTTCGTGAAGAAGTCTGACCATCGGGCCGGCGGTCGTCCAGGTGTTCGTTTGACGTCCCGAGGGATCCAGTCGGTAACCGCTCTGGTCCAACGGTCATCGCAAAATCGCATGACGTGTCCGGCCCACCTTATCTTCGATTCCTTGGCGAAAACGGCAGCGTCCCTGATCTTCGATCGTTGGCGTAGTTCGGAACTCCGGATTCCCCTCTGCACTTGCGTGTATAGGGTTACTCCTAGCATCGTCCTCTCGACAGCGCGTTGGATAACGCTGACCGCATGCTCGTCCTGCCTGCGCAGAGTCCAAGTCTCTGAGGCGTAGGTTAGGGCAGGAAGGACAGCGGAATCGAAGAGGTGGGCCACGGAGCCGGATTAGTTCTTCGTCCTTCTTCACTAACTCCTCGGATTGCTTCTTATCACGCCGCTCCCCAAGCCGCTCGTTTCCTCCTGCTCAGCTCTGGAGCTAGATCGTTCATCATATTGATTTCCCGACCTAGGTACACGTAGCTGGAGCATTCGGTGATGTTCGTTCCGTTGAGCGTGAATGGGGCATCAGAAACCAATCCGTTTCTCATAA